GCAGAAGAAATAAAATTTATTTAAAAAAAAAGAAATTATTAATTCGTTTTTAATTCATTTAATATATAATTTAACATCGTGTCACGTGAGTGACGAAAACGAAGCGAAACACAAAAATTTAATTCGCAGTTTGAAGAAAATTTTTAGAAAAACCTCCCCTTTCCCGTCTCGCTCCCCACAAAAAGAAAAATTTTTAATTGTTTTTTTTTTTAGACGTTTTTCAAATTCTAAAATGAATCCGTACGAAATATTTTATTTATAGTTTATGTAAGAAGCAGAAGAAAAAAAAAAAAAGAAATTTCGTTAAAATTCCGAACGTGTTTTTCACCTTTTTTTTTGTCTCATCATTTTAAATTCGTTTCCTTTAATTTCGATTTTTAGTCCTTTGATGAAATTTTCTTTTTTCTTTTTTTTTTTTTTACTTAAATCAAATTTTCTTTAAATCGAATTAAATCGATCGATATATCGAACGATCGCTCGCTCAATTTTTCTCATTCGGAAAGGAGTGAAAAAAAAAAAAAATTTCACACTTTTCCTCTCGCATTTAAACACGCACGAAATCAAACGTTAAAAACGTGGAAGTAGATAAATATTTAAATTTTTCTAATTTACCATATCACTCTCTCTCTCTCTCTCACTCTTTCTACCCTTATTTTAAAATTTTTCCCTTTTTATTATTTTGTTTTGTTTGTTAAACAAAACAAACTTTTTTTTTTTAGAAAATATTATTTATCTTATTTCATTCAAATCGTTTGACTTTTTACAAAGTTACCCACACGCACGCACACCCACACTCACATGCACACACCCTCGCATTCGTTATTGTTTCTGGCATTTTCAAACACATCTCTTAACCCTTTTTAAAATTTTTTTTTCTTTCCTTTTACTCTTTTAACCAAATTTTAAAATGTAACAATGGCTAGAGTCTACAACCACGACGATTTTTTTTTAGCCGTTCAAGATATAAAAACAAGTTTCCTTCAGTTCGGACATTAATCACGTGAGCGCGCACACACACACACACAGAAATATCATTTCCGGTTGTCGTAAATCAAAAAAAAAAGAAAATTTTCATGTGAGAGAGAAAGAGAGAGGAAATACATAAAGAAAAATAATAATAATTAAACGATTGTAAAAATTTTTTTAAATATTTAAAAATCCGATAAAATTAAAAAAAAAAAAATTTTCAGGTTGTTCAGGTTGTTCAGGTCGTTCAGGTTGTTTCCGTAAAAATTTAACCTCATGTTTAACTTACGATTATTTATTAATTCAATTTTCATAACGCAACACAAACGTGCAATATTTTACACGTTTTTATTTTATTCCTGTTGTTATTAATATCGTAAATAATTTTTATAACATCAGTGCCGTATTAAGAATTATCGGGAATATAAAAATGAAGGAGAGGAGGAGGGAGAGGGGTAAAAAAATCGTTTTTAAATTATTCAAATCCAGTCAAAAAAGGGAGAAATTTTTCGCCCCCCACAATTCCAACAACCGCACACTCACAAATTCTATTAATTCATCATTATAATAATAATAATCGAACCAAAAAAAAAATTAAAAGTATCTCGTTGAATCCGCCACCACAGAGTAATGAAATACACGTAATTAAAGTTAAAACTTGTTTTTAATTCAATTCAAGGATTAAACATTTAAACAAATTTACATTAATCATGGTGAGTTTTATATGTATTGTTTTTTTTTTTTTAAAAAAATTATTTTATGTACATAAATATATTTTTAACGTTTTTTTTTATACTATCAGGATGAAGAAGAAGGGGAAGGAGGTGTAAAAGGAGAAGGAGAAGGGGAAAATGATAAAAATATAACTATAAAATTAAAAAATTATAAATCAAATCTCGTTTCGGGATTAAAAGATTTATTAAGGGATGATTATTTGATCGATGTAACCCTTTTGGCTGAGGGTCAACACATTTATGCTCATAAAATAATACTGTCTTTATTTAGCGTTTATTTTAAGGACTTGTTTAAAGTAAGTTTTTTTTATATGTAAATAAATAAATAAAGTAATTTTCGTCTTCTGCTGTTATTTATTAAAAAAAAAAAAACGCACGCGCTCGCGCACTCGCAAAATACTAAATAAATTTCTTTAAAAAAAGAAAATGTTTTGCGTTTTATTTTTTTTTATTATCATTTGATACTCGAACGTTTGTTTATTGTTTTGTTTGTTTGTTTGTTTGTTTAAGGGTCTTCCGTGTAAACACACGATTGTTGTTATACGAAACGTCGGATATGATCAACTTAAAAATATTATTCGTTTCATGTACGAAGGAAAAATTAATATGAAATCAAAAGATTTGAAATTTTTTTTTCAATTGGCTCAAGTTATCGGTTGAGAAAACATTTTTCCTTTGTCAAGGTAATTATTATTATTATAAAACAAAATGGCGGATGTATATTCGGAAAATTTGTTTTTTTTTTTTTTCCTTAAGGTTTATACACGTCACTCGCGTGATGACGAAGCCACTCATTTGAAAAAAAGTCTCGAAGAGATTTTAAAGAGATTTTTTTTTTTTTTTTAAGGGAAGA